GCATATTGTAAAGGTGAAACATCACAATATTCCAAGGGAGGAATCAATTAAGGACTCAGATATCATGACTCATCACTAAAATGATTTAGGATTACACTGCGAACTGTTGGGCCAGAAGAAGATATGCCAAAGTAATGAGTTATTTTGCTTTTATAAAACATAATTACATCATGATCTTGAGATAACATATTTTCTTAGGTTTTTATCATTTCAAATGTAAGTTATCTCATTCTAAGGGAAAACTGTCTTTACTTACCTGCTAAAAGGGAGGGAGAATACACTCAATAATAATAATAAAAAACGTACATATTTTAATTTTCTTACAGTGTATGTTTTCAGTAGGGGCCCCTGTTTAGAAGCGACTATGCTGCAAAATAAATGGCAACACCAGGAAAGAATATTTGTGGAAATATGAAAACAACATCTCCAGAGCTTGGTGATAAATGGGTCTTCTAATAGGACAGTGGCACTAAACATATCATCTTATTAGTTAACAAGAGGCTTAAGGACAATATATTCATTGTCTTAGAAGTGGACGTCCTAAAGCCCTTTAAAGTTGTGAGGGATTACACTTCTGTGTGGATGAATGGGCTAAACTACTTTAAGCTTGTAAGTTAGATACTCCAAACATTCGACCAAAGGCAACATGATGTGCCAAATATTACAGAAACAGATGTAAACATCTCACCTTGAGGATAGTACTATTATTATTATTATTTCATCTTTTGTGCCTGCTAATAGACAGAGGTTGAAATGGACGAGTGGATGGACGGTGCCAACCCTGAAGGGTCATTTAGGAAGGGGTGTGGTCCATTACAAGATGAATAACAATAGATATTCATACAGAAAAGTAAGATTGAGTAATTAACAGGGCAGTCATTTTTTTAGGACCATGGGAGGATGCAAGAGAAAGTCTAAACATGCAAACTCTTAACAGAAAGAGCTCAGACCGGGATTCAAACTCCAAACCACTGGGGCCGCATGCAGCCCATAAACAGAAATAATTCAGATTAACTAAACTAAGCAATGCAGGGTTTCATCTGATCCAATGTCCGCCCGTATTAAGAAAAAGTAATGCCTCGACTTTTGGGTTTAAAGTGATATTTGGATTAGACTGCCTGGAAGTTGTATAACATTTTTACATTGGCCCAGTTAGATAGGCATGCTTTGTGACACACCTATGGAGCTCATCACTGGAGCTACATCATTAAAATATCAGTGGAAACTTGCAGAAATCTGCTCAGCGATTATAAAAAAAAAAAAAAAAAAGGCTTGCTGTTAATCAAGACATTTTCCTTTTCCAAAGGAGTTTAATCCTATTTGAAAATGTCCTTTAGTAAAATATTAACACCTTATAAGGCAAGTTAGTTTTTTTGATCACCTGCATACCCCTTACAAATTGATTCCCTATTTGAATATCTTCTAGAAGCACTTTTGTTATTTTTATTAATATATTCAGGCAAGTTTCTTGTTATTACATCGACATTCATTTCTGCCATCAAAATATCCATATTTTTAAGGTTATAAAGGTAATAAGGTCTTGTCCTGGATTCCAATAACACTATTGGGTTGAAATTTGGATTTTCAGAGTGCCCTATAAAGGGTTAATAATAAAAAAATGCATTTTTTTATATAATTAAACCTGTTAGGGATCTATAGTAGATCATTTAGGAGTTTTTTTTTTTAAACTAATTATTCCATGTTAGCATATTGCTATCGGTGCTGAATGTGATGCTTCAGCACACAGAAGCCAGACGCCTCTGTGTCTCGTCCTTATTTGCGTCCATCAGTCTCTGTCCTGCGGCCCGACAGCACTTCTAGGCGCGCAGCTTATCTGCTCCCAGTGTTTACCCCTAAATGGATCCCCATTAGCAGTTAAAGGATGAGGGGGGGAGAGGAGATGAGCTTTCAAATCCTGTTTTGTCCCAAATCAGCTGGTTAACAGCTCAGAAGGACAGATCTCCATCTTAGCGCACAGAACAGGAGCTGCAGAGACGCACCAATTAAAGCTCAACAAAATTCCCGTTAACTTTAAATAAACTCAATAAAGTGAAACAAATACAGTGTTATTCAATTGTTTGTGTTTGTTTTATATCAAAACTATTTTAAAAGGAACTGAATATTCCTGACTGGTCCTCATGCAGTCAGTTCCCACCTGGATGCTTCAGGTGTTCTCGCGATGTTTGTCCTCAGACTTATTGCTGCTGTTTTCCGCAGTACAGGACATGAATGTGTGGCTGTAATTATACAAGAATGGCCTTGGGAAACTTCTGTTTGAGGCTGGAGGAACAATTACGCGCAGAGAAAACAGCAATTGATGCTTCCCCACTCTAATTTTCACACAACTCTTTGGACAATTTATCTTCCACGATGATAATTTCAGCAAATATCTGGACAGGTGTTGGTTTCATTAACCTGAAGAAGAAGAAAAAAACGTGTTGGGACTGAGTTTAGGCCAGAAATATCCCACGAGAAGAGTGTGAGCTGCCATTTATAAAGCGTAAATGTTAATTAGGCGAACTAAAAGGAAACCAGTTGGCTATTTTCAGAGGAACTAAAGTGAACTTCCTCTTTTATGTTTGTCTTAAAATAAAGCAGCATTTCCTGCTTGCTTCGGTCATTTTAACAACCGGAAACTGAATGTGAGAACATTTAATAAAAATTAAAGTAAGTTTGGAGGGAATTAAAAATAAACAATTCAAACTATTTTTATTTTCTTAAAAGATGTAATAAAGATTCGTTTTTCTTTGGAGATTTGTGAACTATCCTTAAAAAAATACTATTTAAGTAATATTAAGTAATATTAAGACAGCACAAATCCATTCCCCATTTATCCATCTACCATCTGTTTACCAGAGAAATATGCATTTTAAAGGCATTTTATATGAGTAATGAATCCTTTTTTTACTTATTTTCTTAATAAAGCACCTCTTAATTTGTACATTTTGTTATTTTTTTATTATTATTATTATAAATAGTTTAATTCAGCCTCTCAAACCAGAGTCAGCTGTCACCAATGGTCCCTTAAAGTAGGCCTACAGCTGTTTAAATGCTGCTTTATAATTAAAGTAGGAAAAGTTGCTCATTCGTACGGAAGAGGAT